GGGGGAAGAAGGGGGAGTGAGTGGGGTTCACGTCCTTAGTGAACGAGGGGAGTGGCAGGAAGACAGTGCGTACTTACAACAAGGAGAAGTATCAGGGGTAATAACCTGGTGGAGGTGTTTAAGGAAGGGACGGAGGAACAGGACCCAGGAGTAATAGGAAATGAGGATAATAACTCCCCCCTCCTGTCTTAATGAGAGGGCAAGAAAACACCATGGCACACCTCACGTATAAGGGTGGTGATCCACGTCAGCACCTAGAAGCCATTTAGCATTAATTACAGCTTGAATTTTTGACTTTGAGCAGCTAAAGTAACTCGCCTTGCTAGTGTCTAGATTGGTAAGGGGTTGGATCGACAGTCCTGGGTTAGATGAGTGGTCAGAAAGTTCAGCTCTCCTTCATCTCACAGGGATGATCGCAGGAGTCCAGCCCCTTGCTTATGCTCTTGACTTCGTTAAGGTCTGCTCTTCACACAGAGACCAAAGTGATCCCTCTGCAGAGAAGGAGCGGTTGAACTGAGCATTACTATAATTTCCCTCCATTTTCTGCCGTGACAGCCATGTGCTGTTAGCTGACACGCGTGGCAGGAGAAGCTCCATCCAGGCATCATCTCCCAATCTGATGATTTATACGATCTGAGGGTTTGGTCAAGGTTGAGGTGAGGTATTTTAAGTAACAGTTATCCTTTTTAACATTTGTGTGTATGACAATAGTAAACATTTGTTAATATTTTCCTGGAAGCCACGTGGTGTTTGAGCTGCACTTGTGAAAGTACATAACCGTGGCACTTTATTTACCCTCAGCTGGCCCGTTGGAAGAGCAAACACAGGTAGCATTTGAGGGATGACACGACTTTCTGTTTGACGGGGTTGTTTAGCGTACAGGAGGTAGATGTGTAGGGGCCAGATCACTTAGTTAATTTTTTAAACCTGGCTGTTAATAATAAAATGTTGGCACTCTAGTGTGTATTATCTTTCTTTTCTTTTCTTTTATCGTAACTCTGTGCTGTAGTATCTTTAATTTTCTATATGAAGAAAGAGATTCAGGGGTTGGAGGATTTACCCAGGGATGCAATATGATGGAGCAGAGACAAACTTATCTCTTGGTGTTCTGATTCCAAATCTTGTACTTCCCCACTGTGTTATGGTTCTCTCTTCCTGCTAAGTGGAGGAAATTGAGGCCAAAGATATTAATATGGACTGTAAGATAAAGACTTCTTTTTTTTTAATGAAGGGTTAGCGTTTTCTTCTTTGGCTCACCTCTGACATGTCGATGAATCTATGGCTGTGTAATTGTGCAAACTCAGTACCTGTGCTTCAGCTGTTGAAGTCAGGCTTTACTCTTTAGGCTGGGTTAGTGGTTCCTAATCTCATCACCAAGGACTCCTGTAAGTTTTTTTATTCTTCTACAGGGTACCCAGGCTTGCTTTTTTTTTTTTTTTCTCTTCGCTTTTGGCCTGTTTAACAGCATTTATTTGTCTGTCAGGCTTGGTTTATTGATTTGTTTTTTAATTATTATTTTTTTACCTTTTAATCAGTATAAGATAACTGATTTCTCAACGAGTTGATAAGTCTCAGCCAAAAACAAAATAACATTGTTTTAGTGAGCCTGTATTGCTTGCTTATATGATAAACATATAATTTTTTATTTCAGTTATTGAAATAGTTGAAGTTGTTTTTGAGTTCCCTCAGGAGTCTGGGGGACCCCCATCCCCACTTAGAGTGATTGTTGGTTATTTTGTTGAGTACAGGGTATGAAGCTCATTGGCATCCTTCTAGCACATATTGTCTTCTTGATTCTCTAAGGTTAGAGAACTGTATCGTATTACTCAGCGTAATTGTTTGTGGTGCTAACGGATCCATCCGCTTTCTGTACTGATACATGCCTGTGATGCTCCAGATACTCCCCACTAGATTGGGGGAGTTCAAAGAGAAAATACTGTGTAGTCCCTGTCTTCAAGAAGCTTCTGCTTAGTGTAAGAGGCAGACAGTGTGACTCACTGAGTGTGGTAGTGTGGCTGGGTGCAGGGGCAGTGGACCACAGAGGCAGGTGAGATGAGAGACGGTGGTCAAAGAAACCTTAGCAGAGGAGGCAGGCCGAGGCGATCTGGTGATCACAGGTGAGGCTGTGGAATCCAGCAGTTCTGGTTTTGAATCCCACCCAGTTCTGCAGTTGGAGAAATATACGATCTGGGGCAAATTAAATCGCCCCCCGTAAGCTATATTTTTCTCACTTGCAAAATGGCTTAGTACCTACCTTCCAAGGTTGTAAAGATTGAATAAGAAAATGTAAAGGACTTAGCAGCGCCATGTGTAGTAGGTACATAACAGCCGCCCATTAAGTCAAAACCGTTGTCATTATTACTGCTGCTGCATTGACTCTTCCTTTGAAGCGTGAGTCAGATTAGCCAGACAAAGAAGGAACTGGGGAGAAACGGCCTTCTGGAGACTGGAAGGAGCATAAGGAAGACATGGTGACCAAAGACAATATTGGGGGAATGAAATAGCAGTGCCTACGTTAAAGATTATATTGAGATTAAAAGACATGATAATGTAAAGCACATAAGCAGTCAGAAGCAGAGTCCCTGTTTCTAATTCCACATTGTTGTCTCCTGTGTTGTGTCCCCCGTTTTGAAACATCTTGGTTCTTTTTGTATCTTTCTCTGTTTCTTCCCTGATTTCTTTTCTACTTCTCCATGTCTTTCTTGAGGGCATCCCCCAGAGTTTAGTTGTCAGTTTTCACTTCTCCTGTCTTTTCTGTTGGAGAATTAGGTGTTGTTCTGGCTTCCTCTGTCCTGTTACACAAATGACTTTCAGATTTATCAGTTGCTCTAACCTCCTTCCTAGGTCTTTCTTCTTGATTGGGTCTTACCGGTCTCCTAAAAATGTCTACTTGATATATTTGCCCGCTGTTTCTTAATTCTGTTTCATTTGTTTCATTTCAGAAAAAAGTAGGAAGGTGGGAAGGGATAAATTAGGAGTTCGAGATTTGCAGATACTAACTACTATATATAAAATAGATAAACAAGTTTATACACAGGGAGCTATATTCAATATCTTGCAGTAACTTATGGTTAAAAGGATATGAAAATGAATATATGTATGTACTTATATGACTGAAGTATTGTGCTGTACACCAGAAATTGACACAACATTGTAAACTGACTATACTTCAAAGGTACTTCTACCTATAATGAAAAAGAATATGAAAATGCAAAAAAAAAGAAGAAAGAAAAAAATAGAAGGAAACTGATCTAGATCTGTCAGATATTTACTTTGCCAAGCAGTGATATTTCAGAAAACAATCAAACTCACCATGACTTCTATTTCATACAGAAAAGGAAGTCTTAACATAAATGGTTAGAAAGACCATAATCTTAGAATTTAAAAATAGTCTAGTGAGTACTTCATTATTTTTCTTTTTGTTTCAGACTGATGACAACTTCATACACAGTAAAAACACTGCTTTGGAGTAAACTTTGTACTGTCTTGGTGTTGATCTGCCTGAAATTTGATTTTGATCATAGTTTTCAGTGCTCACCACTGCCTAGCTGGAAAAAGTCCTAATTTGTGAGGCCTTTATAGTTTGACTCCAGCTCTTTTTTTTTTTTTTAATCTTTTTCCCTCATCACATTTCTCTGTTACCAACTTAAGAAAAAAAATCCCAGTGGAGGGGTGGTGTTTGCAGTTTGGATCTGACTGAGGTTCAACTCTGGCCCTGTGTGGGCTCAGGCAAGTTACTGTACGGGGAGAAGCAGCCCTTGACATCCTCGGGCCGCGCTTGCACCATCAGCCGGGCCTTGGGTTGCTGTGAGCTGGCCTGGCGCAGCTAGGTCTTCGGGTGTTCTTCTGTGGAACGCAGATGATTTCACAGAACATCAGCATCAGACAAGGCCATCTTGTGACCATGATGGATCAAGACAAGAGTAAGAGCATGACGTAATCACATCTGAAGACAGATAAAACATGAACATCGTCCAAGTCACAAAATATCCAACATCCCCTCCTCCAGGCTACTGGGAAGGATTGTTGCTGCGTTACCAATTACAGCATCAGCCTCCCTCTGTCTGCCTCCCCATAGAGGACTGTTGGCGTACCCCATCATCGAACTGTCCTCCCTCGCTGACAGCACCCGAGCCAGAGTGAACCCTTGCTGCTTTTGGACTTTTGGACTTTCCCCCTAAGATCACTTAGCCAAATACCAAACCCTGAATAAATCATTTCTAATGTCTTACTGGGATGCCCTCCAGTTTCCCATGATGTGCGTTCCTAGTTAACTTGACTTGTTCAACCAGTGGTGTGTTCCTGGTGTGTGTGTATGGGGCATTGACAGTAACTCCCTGGAGCCTTACTTTTTCTCATATGTGAACTAGGAGTAATAACATCTTTTTTTGCAGAATTATGAAGATCAGATGAGAAAGCTTAAAGCACCCACTAGAGTCTTGGCGGTTAGTAGATACTCAGCGAAAAACTTGTTTCTTGTCCTCTAGTGAAGTAGTCTGATCAGTCATGGTCCCCGGAACAGGCTTACGAGGACCTTATTTTCACCCGTTCTCACCCACGGGGGGCTCTGTTCCCCTCCTGCAAGACTCAGTTCACATACCTTTTCTGTGAAAGCTTTACATCTCTCAGTGATCTCTGCTGTCTCTGAACTTGAGGTATGTATTGTCTTTACCATTGACCCGACATGTTGATTGTGCTCTAGCTTGTGGCACCTTTGTATCTACCTTTTATTTAATTCTTCATTTTTCATGTACTTTGTTTTTCATTGACTGACTTACCCTTTAAGAGTGGGGCTATGTTTTGAAACCAGCTAATTACTTTATAGGGACTATTTCTTCATACTTGTTATAGTATCTTGTACTCAGAAAATGCTTAAATATGACTAAAGTAAAACAAAAGGAAGAGAGTATATCGTTTCCCCTTGCCCTGAATATGGTGCTGTGGTGAAATTTGCCTAAGCCAGATACTTAGTTAAAAGCTGTATGTGTCTTCTTTCGTAGGCAACACAATGGTGGGTGAAGAGAAGATGTCGCTGAGAAGACGGCTGTCAAAGTCCAGTGAAGACACTGAGGAAAAGGAGGAAAGCCAGGGAGACCGTTCGGAGGAGCCCCTGGAGATACTGAGTAATGGTGAGGCTTCTAGAGAAGAAATCCAGTGTTCTAGAACAAGAACTACCATCTCTTTAGCACTCTTTATCATCAGTGGATGTGCTGGTAGGCACTGTGATGGTGCAGAGGAGGAAAGTAAATTAATAAGGAGAGCAGAAAGGAACAAACACACTGGGTTAAGTGGCAGTCACAGCTGCCTTAGATACTGCTGGTGACACTGCTGTGAAAATTGCCTCACCTCTCCTAGAGGTGAGCTTTATTAAAAGCTGAGTTTGCAGTGTATGCTTGAATTTAGGATTTTTATCACATACAGTTTATATGTCTGGTAACAAACAAAGACATAAGAAAATAAGCCTTTCTTTTTAATTCAGTGAACATTTTGTGGGGATATCTACTATGTCTTAGACATCATTCATTCATTTGTTCATTCCTTCAACCACCTAACCTGTGAGTGATTATTGGTGCCCTGCCAGGTGCTGGGCTGCAGCACGTGATGGAGACAGATGTGTCTGCCCTCACGGAGGGCCAAGTTAAGTGAGTGAGAACTCCCCCCTTTAAAATAATTAGATTACTACAAATGAGTGCTACTAATTACTCTTTTAATAGGTGTAGTGAGCATAATGGTGGTAATTAGCAGGGCATCTAACCTAGTCAGTTCAGTACTAAGTTATAAATCTTGAGGGAGGGAGAGACTTAGGAAGTTTTATTAGTTCTCATGTCCAGGTTTGCTTAATGTATGAATACAAAGAAGACTGTGACACCGTGTTTGTTGTTGAGGTCAAGGTTTATGCAGAAGATTGATGGACCTGTAAGCACTCCAGCTGATGTCATCTGTTGCATCAGGCCATGTATCTTTGCAGTGACATTTGTACAGGTTTGAATTCAACAAGGATTTGAAATTGGAGGCTTGTGTGGTTAACAGATAGGTGTGGAACTTTCTGAGACAAGTTGTCTTTGGCATCCTGAGGCTTCTTTCATAAAGAAAAGCTTTTGCTTTTCCTACTTAAATGTAATTGTAAATACAGCAGCTGGATCCAGGGATATAAGTATTGCTGTGTAGGTTTGCATAATGAAGTTCATTGATTGTTAGACTTTTAATTCACTATTTATGAAACAGTTATATTGCACATGGACTAGTTTTAGTGTAATATAAAGTGTGAATTTGTGCAAAAAGGTGAGCCAACATTGGTTAGAAGCCTTTCTCTTCCATGATTTAAAGTCTGGGTGGTAATCCATGTTGTCCTTTTATTGAAACTTTCTGTCACCAGATTCAATTTTCTCTTCAGGTCTCATTTTTAAAAAGAGCTTTTAAACTACTCTAACTTCTACATGTTGTCAGTAGTCCTTATTGTCTTAGTTCACTAAGTTTCAATCCTTCTGGGTTTTAATGCGTATGATAAAAATTGGATTGCTTAGCTTAAAACAGGAAGTATGACCCCCTCCTTGGTTTAATATAAGTAATGCTGATCTGGAAACAGGCAGTGTTTCTTCACTTCCTTTAACATTTGTTCACTTTGGGGAGTAAGCAGATGGTTAAAATGTGACCTTTGAATAGCAAAGGCTTAAAGGACACCACACCACGCCAGTCATTGTGACTCACCAGCCAGGACCAGGGGCATCTGCATTCCCTGGGAGCTTGTTAGAAATGGCCCACCTCATACTTACTGAATAAAAATTTCATTTTAATAAGATTCCTAGGTGATTTATAAGCTTAAAGTTTGAGACACAGTTCTTAGAGTGGGTGTGTGTATTGGAGTTCTCCGGAGAAGCAGAACCAATAGGAGATACATACATGTGTGTATGTGTGTGTGTGTGTGTGTGTGTGTGTGTGTGTGTGTGTGTATATGATTTATTATGAAGGATTGGCTCATGGAGTCTGAGAAGTCCCACAATTTATAGTCTACATGCTGGAGGCCCAGGGATTTTTGAGTTGCTTCCACCTCTTGGCTGTTGTGAATAATGCTGCTGCTGCTATGAACATAGGTATTCAAACATCTCTTCAAGACTCTGCTTCCCATTCTTTGGATCTATCCACAGCAGTGGGATTGCTCGACTGTGTGGTGGTTCTATTTTTAATTTTTTTAAGAAACTGGCATACTGTTTTCCATTTGGCTGCACCATTTTATAGTTCTACCAGTGGCACACAGGGATTCCAGTTTAACCACATCCTCACCAACACTTACTTTCTGTTTGTTTTTTTTAAATAGTAGCCATCCCAGTGGATGTAGGGTGATACCTCATTGTGGTTTTGATTTGCATTTCTCTAATGGTTAGTGGTGTTGAACACTTTTTCATGTATGTCTTGGCCATTTGTATATCTTCTTTAGAGAAATATCTATCCATATCCTTTGGCCGTTTTTTTTTTTTTGTCAGGTTCTTTGCTTTATTGTTGAGTTATAGGAGTTCTTTATAATATTCTGGATATTAACACCTTATCAGATTTATGATTTGCAGATATTTTCTCCCATTTCATAAGTTACCATTTCACTTTGCTGATTGTGTCCATGATGCCCAGAAGTTTTAGTTTGATACGATTCCATTTGTCTGTTTTTGTGTTTGTTGCCTGTGCTACTGGTGTCATATCTAGGAAATCACTGCCAAGCCTAATGTCATGAAGCTTATCTCCTGTGTTTTCTTTCAGGAGTTTTACATTTTGGGGTCTTACATTTAGATTCAGTAATCCATTTAGAGTTAATTTTTGTGTATGATGTAAGATAAGGGTTCAACTTCATTCTTGTGCATGTGGTTAGGGTTACATCAGTTTCAGGAGTATTACCGTCTGTGGTTGGCTGAAAAATGCCCTCTCCCCACAAAGGTCCTAAAACCTGGAACCTTTGAATGCTACTTGATTTGGCAAGAAAAATGGGCAGAGAGGTCTTTGCAGATATAATTAAGGTAGGGATCTTGAGATGAGATTATTTGACTATCCACCTTGGCCCTGAGTGCAATCTCATGAGTGGGAGGCAGAGGGAGATTTGATGACACACAGAGGAGAAGGTGTTTTGAAGATGGACCAGAGAGAGATTTGTAGATACTGGCTTTGAAGATTGACATGCTGTGGTCACAAGTCAAGGAATGCTGGTAGCTACAAGAAGGTGAAAAACCAGGGCTGAATTCTGCCTAGGGCCTCCAGAGGGAGTGCGGCCCTGCTGTGACACCTTGATTTCAGCTCATCCTCCAGAACTGAGAGAGAAATTTTTTGTTTTAAGCCACCAAGTTTGTGGTAATTTGTTATATCAGCCTTAGGAAACAAATACACCATCTTAACAGTATCAAGTCTCTCAATCCATGAACATAGGATGTCTTTCTATTTATAGGCATACCTTGGAGATATTGCAGGTTTGGTTCCAGACCACCACAATAAATTGTGTATCACAATAAAGAGAGTCCACATGAATTTTTTGGTTTCCCAGAGCATGTAACAGTTATGTTTACATTATACTGTAGTCTATTAAGGTTGCAATAATAGGATTATGTTTTAAAAAGACAGTGTACATAACTTAATTAAAAAATGCATTATTGATAAAAAACGCTAGCCATCATTCCTCGAGTTGTAATCTTTTTGCAATAGTAGCATCAAAGATCGCTGATCATAGATCACCATGACAAATATAATAAGGAAAAGTCTGAAATACTGCAGGAGTTACCAGAGTATGACACAGACATCAAGTGAGCAAAAGCTGTTGGGATGATGGCATTATAGCTTTGTTGAACACATGGTTGCCACAAACTATCAATTTGTAAAACAAACAAGACAACAACCAACCAACTCCCCCCCACCCTGCAATATCTGAATCATGAGAAAACAAGGTATGCCTGTATTTAGGTCTTCTTTAATTTCTTGCAACAATGGTTTAAAGCTTTCAGAATATAAGGTTTAAGTATTTTGTTCCTTTTGATGCTATTGTAAATGGAATTGTTTTCTTAATTTCATTTTTTGAGTATTTGTTGCTAATGTGTAGAAATGCAGCTGGCTTTTGTATATTGATATCATAGCCTGCAACCTTGCTGAACTTTTGAGTTCCAAGAGAGGTGTGTGTATTTTGTAGTGTTTTCTGTATACAAGATCATGCCATCTGCAAATATGAGTTCTATTATTTCATTTTCAACCTACATGCCTTTCATTTTCTTGTCTAATTGTACTTGCTAGAATTCCCAGTACAATGTTGAATAGAATTGGCAAGAGTGGACATTCTTGTCTTTTTTCTGATCTTAGGAAGAAAGCTTTGAGTCCTTCTGTTAATTATATTAGCTGTCAGTTTATTGTATATGCCCTGATGAGGTTGAGGAAATTATCTACCTTTCTGTTTACAGGTGGTACGTATTCTTGACTGCCTTTTACTTAGCTGCGTTGTTTATTTGATAGCCCCTTCATTCAGTATGTACGTTGAATTCTAAAACTGACCAGTCCACTTAGAGCTTTGATCAACTGAATAGGTTGAGAATACATCTTTTGCCTGCGTAGGATAGAAGCAAAACATGTTTATTTTACAAAGTGCAGATAAGCAAAAGTTCAAGTGTTTGATTTTTCCTTGGATACATTCCTAGAAATTGTTTCTAGGTCAGAGAGAATTCATGCTTATAAGATTTGCCAAGGGGAATGTTGTCAAATTGCCCTCTGGAAATACTGCCCTCCAGTAGCCGAATGAGAGTGCCTGTTTCTTCAGCCTTTCTTCAGTCATGGATCATGTGACCTTCTGAATAAACCCTATGGCATTTTGAAAAATGACAGATTCCACTTTACTTGAAAAAGATTTTGTGCAATGAGACATAACATAATTACTGCCAGCAATAAAGTTACTGAATATTAATTAGTACTTTTTATAGCTTCTAAGTTCAAAAGAATGAGTTTGAATATCTTAGTTCGTTATATAGGAAGATTAGTTAAAAGAAATGGAAGTTACTAGGTGATATTTTCTTTGACAGCTTTTTAACTTAAAAAAAAAAAGAAGTGTGCTAAAACAATAATCCTAAAAAGGTTTCAGATTCAAAAAGGGCAAACAAAATACAGTCAATGATTA